TTTACCCTTACTTATTAAAGATTGACCACAATATAAACAATCTTTTTTGTATGAAAACTTATCAGTCATTGATCTCAATGGTGGCATCAGTGTTTTTCTTTTTCTGTCTTAGTGTCTCTTATAGTGTAATGTGGGTTACAGTACATCTTTCTACTCAACTTTTAAACTGTCATTTTATTTCTCACTGGCAGCATTTATTTCCCTTGCATTCCTTTTCGTTGCCTTTAACTGTCTTTGTATGATCATCAAACAGCCGTTAACAAATCCGACAGGAGTTCATCTTGAAAAAAAAACAACAATAACTGATATTGTAAGATTTATAAAATCTGTTTTTTACATTATAATTATGGAGGTTGATCCAGAATTACCCAAAATTTGTTTATAATTCTGATAACTTTTTATGTTTTCTTAATTAAATTTATAAATGCGCAAAGATCGATGTTTCTTCTATTTAATTGCCAAATATAATTGATTAGAAACATCCAGTACCGTCTCAGGCCGCCTTAAATAACCATGGATACGCCACAGCAGCGCAACTCAAAGAACACGACGTTCGTTGAAATTTATTATACACCAAAGTGCCCGACACAAAAAGGGATCATGTCCAATATTTGCCGAAGGTTAATGTAAAGCCTGCTATAAAATTTCACCGTCGTTTGAAACATTGTATTATTGTGTAATCAGTTGTAATTGCAACGTTTATTTATGCAAAAACGTCTTCATTAAGGCGTCGGAAAACGGCACTTTCATAAACATTGTGTCAACTGTTTAGACAGCCTACCATAGAAGCATCTAATATGATAAAAGAAATTCGACACAAGTATTTTGTTAGTCATGCATACACAACTTTTTGAGGGGTAAAAGAAGTTTTTTTACCCGACTGTTGGAGTAATTTTAAATACATATCGTTTGCGGCATAGAAGAATACGCGGTGAAGTTAACTGTGGCGATTGAAAAATACAAATATGCTGTCATATGCGGACTTGCACAATTTCAATGCGATTTAAAAAAAAATGAATTATAAGTGACGATTATGTGCTGTTTTTCATAACTTTATTTGTTTTCTTTTACATGCACTTTTATATATTTATCTAATTAAATTAAATGAATCATATATTTTATGCCTTCAAACTTTAAGATGATCATGTGTGTATGAATCACAGCAATCAAAAGCAATTAGGAGTTCAATAGTCATAGGTTTAGGTTGTTAGTACACTTTACAGTGAATGGCATCGGGAGGATTTCCCTATGTATAAGAACAATAGAAACATCAACCTTTTTTGCATGTGACAAATCCTATGTTCGCTTATATGGTAGGCATACTGTGTTTAATTATAATATTCTTGTTTCCTTGTAAAAAGGATATATTACGCAGTAATACAGTGTTTGTTATATGAACTTTGAATAAATATTATTGAATTTATTGTTTAAATTACAGGTATTTCTGGATCAACCCTTGCATTCTTGTATTCTGGTTATTGGTAGCTGATTACGTATTGTTTCAGTTATCCAGAACAGTACGTGTTATTATAAGATGTATTTTTCCTAAAAGGCTTTCCTTAAAATGTTTTAGGTGTATTTATTTGATCAAAGTTGCTGATATGACACACTTTTCTTGCATATCAGACTGGCGTTTCCGTTAGTATTACCCATGCCGGAAATTTCATGTGGCATAGGGGGTGCCAGATGAGTCGCGTGCTGTACAATGTCACGCTTTAAGGATGACGTAATTTTACTGTTATGAATGAAGTTGTAATTTCATACGCTGTTGTACGAAAAATAGTTTCGGTTGTAATGGCATAAATTCCTATTGAAAATTAAGATAAAGATTTCAAAATATAATGTTATATCGTAAAATATGCAAGAAAAAATATCTGACATATGTTTGCGGTTCGGATCGGAATATCCGTCCCGATGTGACCCGCCCATTGGGCGGTAACGAGGCTTGCCGAGTTACCGCACATGGGCGGGTTACCGAACCGCAACATATGACAGATATTATTATTATTTTCTAAGGTTTTAATCTAAAATTATAAATATAAAATACCTACTGGTAAAAGTGTTTGGAAGTAACGTAAAGATAAAGTCACAAATTGAGTTTAAAAATGTCACCTTTCAATTTTTAGCATTTCTAATGCCCATCCGTGCATGCATTCAAAAATATTTGTACTGATATGTTACTATATGGAACTTATGACACACCTTCAAAGTTTGCTTATATGAAAAATATCATTAAAGTGATTTTGTGAAACAAATGTCTCAACTATGCATCTTTACCTTTAACTCGTATACATCACAGTGTCCTCAGAACACATGATCGGGCATACCCATTGGCTCTGGTGTGTTGATGAAATCTGTAACATAGAAATTACTTAAAGTTTGAAAGGATTAGAATCTTATTTTTATATTTACGTGAAAAAAGGTTCTATAGAATACACAGATGTTTTTATTGTTACATGTATTTGCTTAAAACTTAACACTTTGGAAAGCTATTTAGTGCCAAAGTGCTACTGTAGTGTTTAGAAATCTCTTTCATTGCCACATATTTTGCAGGCATAATAAAAGGTTTCACAATTAAGTACTGTTTAACATGTTAAGTTACACAAACAATAGCCTTCCCTCGTTCTCTGTCAGTCTCGCAACATAATAAAGGTGTATAAATCTCGTAGAGATAGTCAATTCTTTTCGTTTTAAAGATTAGTTTGTGGTCCTTAAACATTCGCTCGGGGAAAATAACGGACCACACATTCATTTAAACGTCCGAGCATGGAGGCAGTTAAATCATATATCACAAACATGAAAGCATTCTTTTTGCCACCAACTGTTTATACTAAATCATCTCTCGCTGGAACAATTATGCGGTCTATTGTACCAACAACGTGTTTGTGATTTAAGAGCTTCTCAAGAAAGGTATTTACTTATGATCTTCAAAAGTTTGGCCCAGATTTTTCTTAAACTTGAAATAAACTTTAAAGCGTTTGTTTCTATCTTTTATGTTTCTTTATATTTACTATTATATGTGAATGCTTCAATGTTTAACTGATGGGGTAGACTTATAAGTAACAAACTGTTGATGTATCGGATTTAGGAATTGAGAGTCACGTCAATCAAAATAGATTATATATTATCTAATATCTACAAAACATAAAACTTCAATTAATGTATTTCAACGTTTGGTGGGTCCTTACTAAAATAAGTTGTGTTTTTAAAAGCGTTTCACTGAGGTCCAAAAGTCTAGAATAAAAAAATTGAAAATCTCATATAGATAAAATAGGGGCACTTAAAAATGGGAGAAAATAGAAAAAGATAATTAAAAAATATACTCAATAAATATAAAATATACTTGATAACAAATTGATATTTCGTGCGATTCTTAGCCCAATAAGAATTAATGGCGCTTAAACGCTTTTTTATTTTAGATCGTGTTGCGCACTTTATTTCAGATCATTTTCACACTTTTGATTCTAGGTCATTTTGCACACTGTAATGATTATTATGGCAAAACAGAGTGAGCGGATAATCTGATTTTTTGCATACAGTTTATTGGCATAGTCTTAAGTCAAATGGAACATGTATAAAAAAAATTAAAAAAAAGTATTTTCGTTCCCGTCATGTAAAAAAAAAACCATTCTTTTGTTTTGAGAGGGTTTAATTTAAATGGAACGATTTTGAACGTAAAAATCGCTTTTCAATATTCACTTATCAATTTTATCAATGAAGAGAGCGCAATGTATCAATGTTCATTTTGTCTAAAACTACTTTAAATTCTTGTTTTTCTCTGATACAAAGCGATGATGTTTACAACATAAAAATCGCATTAAGTTTTTGCTTTTTCTTCATTTTCAAACACGTGTAAGTGTCAAAATCCAATTTTATCCAACCACTTTACAACTATTTCATTGTATATGATATGAGAAGTACACGTGCAATTCTACTTAATGTTATAGCGTTTATCCGGTTGTAGATAACTTAATTATATTGATAACGAATCATTTATTTTTTTTTCTAAAAATGGTTAAATCTTTTTAATGTGAATCTTACTTATTTTTTGTTATTTTGAAGGTTTATAAAACAATTTTGAAAGTAGGAAACATTTAAGGTCGCACTACATGGACCAATGGAGAAACGTGTTGCAAACATGGCTGATATGGAGCCTGTATATACAGCAATAGTCAATTAACGTTGACGCCGAAGCCCAGTTTAGGCTACTAGTCCAGTCATTCTAGCTCAAAATAGAGCCAAACCTCAAACAAATTGCAACAGAAAATATTTTGAGTGTTTTGAAACCCCAGACCTATATTGTATAACATATCAAAAGTCTAGAAAAATCTAAATTGGAGAATGTTTTCAAAAATTGAGATCAAATATATGGGTATCATTGTATTTATTTTTTTAATTTGAACTCAATGTAATACACACATACAATTTTCCAATCAGTTTTATATATAATATACATAAAAATATAGCTTAATCTATCCCTATAGTAACATAAAGTAATCAAAAAGTTGTTTTTGTTTAAAGAAACTACTTTTACCTTACTAAAATTTATTAATTAACTTAAGTGGGTGGGGTAATATTATATTTTTACATTGCTGTAGATCAACAATTTATTGAAAGCTCTATGTTATATGATATTAAACAGAAAATACATAATGGTTTACGTACATGTGAAAACTGTCAAGTTTCAACGTTTTATGAATTTAATTTACATTCCATCAATATTTAATGCATGTATTGAAATATTTATATTAACATTGTACAGCTAGTGGGTGGGGTAATTTTATACAAAATAAAGAAACATTAAGGAAATCTTTATAATCTATGATAATAATATTGAGTTTTATATTATCAATGAATACCTTCAAGCACATCTGTTGTATTCTTTTCTGAGTCATTATATAACATCATGACATTTGGTCAAAAGAGGTGACATTGACCTTTTGGAAGGTCAATTTCAAATATTTGATACATTTGAGCATAAAATGTAAAAAAAAAAAACATTTGCAAATTTTAATTTGTAAAATATCTTCGCTAAGCATAAGCACAAGAATGTCATGACTTTTACAAAGCGTCACTCGCTTCTGTAATTTCTGGTCGACCAATCTTTCACTTTTTATCACTAGATGGTAGCACCTGAAATTCTTCTGGTATATCTTTTCCAGTTCTGAAATTAGAGGAGCATAAACATGTTTGATGGTAAAGAGCATCGGCTACAAGCAAGTTGTGAACCTGTTCTATCCTTGCTCTCACTGTATCAGACAAACAGTCATTCCTCTGTATACATATATTCAAAACAGTAGGTTCTAGTGTCCTTACTGGCGAAACATCACACTTCCTTGTTTTACCCTTACTTATTAAAGATTGACCACAATATAAACAATCTTTTTTGTATGAAAACTTATCAGTCATTGATCTCAATGGTGGCATCAGTGTTTTCTTTTTCTGTCTTAGTGTCTCTTATAGTGTAATGTGGGTTACAGTACATCTTTCTACTCAACTTTTAAACTGTCATTTTATTTCTCACTGGCAGCATTTATTCCCTTGCATTCCTTTTCGTTGCCTTTAACTGTCTTTGTATGATCATCAAACAGCCGTTAACAAATCCGACAGGAGTTCATCTTGAAAAAAAACAACAATAACTGATATTGTAAGATTTATAAAATCTGTTTTTTACATTATAATTATGGAGGTTGATCCAGAATTACCCAAAATTTGTTTATAATTCTGATAACTTTTTATGTTTTCTTAATTAAATTTATAAATGCGCAAAGATCGATGTTTCTTCTATTTAATTGCCAAACATAATTGATTAGAAACATCCAGTACCGTCTCAGGCCGCCTTAAATAACCATGGATACGCCACAGCAGCGCAACTCAAAGAACACGACGTTCGTTGAAATTTATTATACACCAAAGTGCCCGACACAAAAAGGGATCATGTCCAATATTTGCCGAAGGTTAATGTAAAGCCTGCTAAAATTTCACGTCGTTTGAACATTGTATTATTGTGTAATCAGTTGTAATTGCAACGTTTATTTATGCAAAAACGTCTTCATTAAGGCGTCGGAAAACGGCACTTTCATAAACATTTGTCAACTGTTTAGACAGCCTACCATAGAAGCATCTAATATGATAAAAGAAATTCGACACAAGTATTTTGTTAGTCATGCATACACAACTTTTTGAGGGGTAAAGAAGTTTTTTTACCCGACTGTTGGAGTAATTTTAAATACATATCGTTTGCGGCATAGAAGAATACGCGTGAAGTTAACTGTGGCGATTGAAAAATACAAATATGCTGTCATATGCGGACTTGCACAATTTCAATGCGATTTAAAAAAAAATGAATTATAAGTGACGATTATGTGCTGTTTTTCATACTTTATTTGTTTTCTTTTACATGCACTTTTATATATTTATCTAATTAAATTAAATGAATCATATATTTTATGCCTTCAACTTTAAGATGATCATGTGTATGAATCACAGCAATCAAAGCAATTAGGAGTTCAATAGTCATAGGTTTAGGTTGTTAGTACACTTACAGTGAATGGCATCGGGAGGATTCCCTATGTATAAGAACAATAGAACATCAACCTTTTTTGCATGTGACAAATCCTATGTTCGCTTATATGGTAGGCATACTGTGTTTAATTATAATATTCTTGTTTCCTTGTAAAGAGGATATATTACGCAGTAATACAGTGTTTGTTATATGAACTTTGAATAAATATTATTGAATTTATTGTTTAAATTACAGGTATTTCTGGATCAACCCTTGCATTCTTGTATTCTGGTTATTGGTAGCTGATTACGTATTGTTTCAGTTATCCCAGAACAGTACGTGTTATTATAAGATGTATTTTTCCTAAAAGGCTTTCCTTAAAATGTTTTAGGTGTATTTATTTGATCAAAGTTGCTGATATGACACACTTTTCTTGCATATCAGACTGGCGTTTCCGTTAGTATTACCCATGCCGGAAATTTCATGTGGCATAGGGGGTGCCAGATGAGTCGCGTGCTGTACAATGTCACGCTTTAAGGATGACGTAATTTTACTGTTATGAATGAAGTTGTAATTTCATACGCTGTTGTACGAAAATAGTTTCGGTTGTAATGGCATAAATTCCTATTGAAAATTAAGATAAAGATTTCAAAATATAATGTTATATCGTAAAATATGCAAGAAAAAATATCTGACATATGTTTGCGGTTCGGATCGGAATATCCGTCCCGATGTGACCCGCCCATTGGGCGGTAACGAGGCTTGCCGAGTTACCGCACATGGGCGGGTTACCGAACCGCAACATATGACAGATATTATTATTATTTTCTAAGGTTTTAATCTAAAATTATAAATATAAAATACCTACTGGTAAAAGTGTTTGGAAGTAACGTAAAGATAAAGTCACAAATTGAGTTTAAAAATGTCACCTTTCAATTTTTAGCATTTCTAATGCCCATCCGTGCATGCATTCAAAAATATTTGTACTGATATGTTACTATATGGAACTTATGACACACCTTCAAAGTTTGCTTATATGAAAAATATCATTAAAGTGATTTTGTGAAACAAATGTCTCAACTATGCATCTTTACCTTTAACTCGTATACATCACAGTGTCCTCAGAACACATGATCGGGCATACCCATTGGCTCTGGTGTGTTGATGAAATCTGTAACATAGAAATTACTTAAAGTTTGAAAGGATTAGAATCTTATTTTTATATTTACGTGAAAAAAGGTTCTATAGAATACACAGATGTTTTTATTGTTACATGTATTTGCTTAAATTTTGATTTTAAAAGTGATAAAATTAATCTATAGTCAACTTAGGTGTGCATTCCGAAAGAAATACTAATATATCGCTGTGAATTAATCTTATACACGTAATGCACTTTTTCAAATTCGCACAGGTGCTAATGTATGCATAAAATATTTTCTGTTAAATTAATATGGATCAACTCTGCATGTTTACCTTGAACTCATACACATCGCCAATCATGAACCATAACTAGAAATCACGTTTGTTTATTGATAAATTTTTCATGTCACCTTTTCATGTATAAATTTCTTCTATGTCTATTAACAACTGAAAATAATTTCAGATATATTGAATTATGCATACGACGCTCTATTTCCTCCATGTTTAATATTCACTTAAACTAGTAAAAGATAATGTTTGATATTTGTGTTATATATTTAAAAATATTACAAATGTAAGCACAGGAAAGCAAACTTACTCATTTAGTGTACATATAGTTTACTGTTTTTTTATTTTCAAAATCAAGCATACATCAATGAATACTACCTCAAAGCGGTATCCCCGGAAATAATAATAACATTACATACATTATATATATATGTAAAACAATTTTAAATCAAAGCACAGAAGGCGCTGAATTTGTTTGGGTCTCAGAATGTAAGAAAGGTGCAGGTTGTGAGATTATATGTTTAGTGCCACCAATGCTTTCCAGCGTTTTAATTGTAGTAAATTGGCTATTAGACTAATTGCAACACTGATATTCAATCCAATGTTTATTTGACTTTAACAATTTAAAAAAATGAGTAACCTTTACTGGGATTTGAACTCCAGACCTCTCGCTTCCTAAGCGAGCCCGAAAACCCTTCAGCCACGGTGAATTTATATGTGAACGGCCTGAAGAAAACCATATTATTCTAAATTAGGGCTTGTAACGACTTTAACTGTTGTTTAACACAGATGTAAATAATCCTGGAGCTTACTATAAGCATGTATATTTATAAAGAATCAAACTGCTGCAAGTTCTGTGGTATTTTCTGATCTTTGCAATCGTACTGTATATCTGTATGCATTTTCCTGTATAAGTTTATTTTTATGTATTATAATTCCTTTTGTAAGGCACCAGAGTTTGATACATCCGTAATTCTGCATAACTAGAGTTGCATCAAAAAATCATTTATGTCCTTTTTTTACGACAGCCACACTTTATCTTTGTATATCATGGCTACTTCCTTAACAAAAACACTTAAAAAAAAGAATTTAACAAAAAAAAAAAGTTTTCTCGACTTGGATACGAACTCGAGACCTCTCACTCACGAGGCGAGCGCGTTACCCTTGTACCACGGAAAAGTTATACACAGTGTGTCTGAATAATATCAAATCATTCTAAATTTGGAACTTCCATTGCAGTTCGGGTTTGTAATCCTTATTAATTTCAAGGTATTTTGTTTAGGCTAAACCTGTTGTTTATAATTGAAGTAGATATTTTAGCAAAAATCCTCTCGCCCAAACGGTCCGGCATGTAGAATCTATATATTCCACTACTCGGTTTGTGTAGTATTCGGTAATCAACATGGCTAAAAATAGTATTTTCATTGATAAAATCATATTCATCCGCGTAATTTGTGATTGTGCATTTATTGACAATTCTATAAGCCAACGCTATTGTTTAACTTTAAATGCGTTGTAATTTGTTGGATACTTGTAACAAAATAAAATATTTCTTTCTTTTAAATCGCTAGTTTTTAGCTGTTTTGAGAACTACTTGTTGTTAGGTTTGTAGTAAACTTCTGTGTCAGAGATTGAATGTCCGCTTTGTATTTAGTTATTTTTGATCAGAAAATACAATAAAACAATATTAGAAATCTTTGACCATTCGGGAATTACTTTGCTTGAAAATTGATGCGCCTGTCTTTGACCATCTTTACGCAGTGATCTCCCCTGAATTTTTCGGCTTTAGTGTACATACAAAAGGGAAGTAACCGCTCCAAAAAATTGGACTACTTTCGGCATTTGCAATTAGCAACATTAGACTCTGAAATTTCGCTACCATTATTTGTTTGGTCTGACGACCCAAACAAATAAAAACTATTAAAAAATACAAAAAAAAACAACCTTGAATACACATTTAACAATAAAACATGATTAAAGTATTCAGAATTTATTTAACGTAATTCTTCATAATTAAAGTGATAATGGCGTTCCATAGTTTAAATACTGTCGAAATTAACTGGTTATAAATACACATTTTAGGCCGTTTTTGAATGTTTACTAAGACAGGAGTTAATCAGAGTTGTAATTTATATAAATTAAACTGTTTTCCATGAAAAGTATAATACAGATCGCTTGAAACACCTGTTGACCTTCAACGGATAAAGAACTGGTAAAACAAGTAATAATTTTCAACAAATACTCATAATAAACTTACGACCCTACATTAATAATTCCTATTATGATCTGTAATATTTTAAGGAAAATATACCAACCCACTTTACAGTGTACTTTACTGACATTTATTTTGTTTACACTTATTTTGTTGTTGTTATCGCCATTATGCAGTCGCTATTCTGAGTATTGGAGACGCTTTGTTCGCCTATGGAAGACCGTTGTCGTCAGAAAAAAATCACAAAAAATAACGCGATAAAACCCGTTTTTTTCTATATTGCGCAACTTAAATTTTGCTAGACTTTTGATATGATTCATGCTATTCCATATACTTTCTATACCAGGTAAAATATTTTCTGTTGCAATTTGTTTGAGGTCGATTTACAGACTGACTGGACTATACGAATTTATCCTTCAACTGATAATAATTTGGTTTTGAACTGAGACAACTAGATGTTGATGGACACAAAATAAAATATGAGAAAGGCGCATTAGAATGAAAATCAATATGTATAAGATACTTATAGGCAGTTTTTCCATTGTTTCATCTCTTTTGTTTTAGAAATAATGTATCAAGATTATGATAATAATATAAAACCAATAAAAATCAAAAGTCTTGATAAAAATAATACGAAATGTAACGTTGATTAATGGTAACCAATTTTAAAAAGACATTTTTCTACAATCTGAACTAAAAAAACATGTTAATTACAACTGTTTAGCATTCATTTACGTTAATACAGCAAAATGGGATTTTAATCAGAGATCATTTGCATACAGAATAGCTTCTGACACGCAGTATGAGAAACATATGCCATAACATTCCTCTCTTGATCCCAGAATAATTGTTTCCGTTATACAGTATGCACATATTTTGTATGTCTAGTTGTTTTGTTCTATGTTTTGTTCTTTATTGCTCTTTTACAAAAAAACATCTATTTTACAGATCCACTGACATAATGAAAAGTCTCTTTTTTTCTTTTTTTTTGGTTTATGTACTTTATAATGTATAACACAATATAACAATTAAAACACAATGCACGGATAGTGTCACTATAACTTCAGTCTTTTATCCATCCATTATTAAAAGTACATACATGTTTTTGACATCAAAATATGCTTTCATTCTTATTGTACATGTTAAAAATGAACCTCTGTTTACATAATTAAATTTATTCTGTTTTATGCTGATGTGTATAATTATCATTTAATTTATCTTCTAAAAATCTGAGCAAATCAAATATTTAAATATATATAGGATAATAATAAAATAAAAACACTCAAAATGATTATAGTTATAAACTGGTTAGTTTAATTTCGACCAAATTAATTTGTCGCATTATTTACATTTAACCACACGAGCCAGCACAAGAAAAAACCGTTTAAATGCTTATATAATAGGTACACAATACCCCGTGTAATATATCATGGAATGTTATCTATGTATAACACATACGTACGATAAGATAAGTAATACAAATCACTACAGAGTACATTTACAAATAATAGAAAACATTTTATCTTAATACATTATATTTGTTGTTACCTACAGCGTGTTATTCCATAGAATGTGAGCAGATTGACAAGTCGTTTGAACTACTTTACAATACACTTAGTGTAGTGTCTACCACCTAAAGTGAACTGCCTGTATAATAATTGACATAACACTGGAGGTCCATTGATATACTCTTATATTATCAAACACCTGATTGTTATAACATGTTTAGATGTAACGATACGCCAATATCTGAATAAGGAAATAATATTCCCGCAAAAATGAAATTTTAAAGATTAACATCGCTTTTCTTGAAAGCCTTACAGTCTTTAAATTATCACGACAACGTGTATCATTCAACATAAAAGCTGTTTTTATGACCTCCTCCGATGTAAAATTGAATATTTGTGAAGAGGTGTTATTTGAACATTTCGACCAAATTAACCATTAAATTACAATGAGCACAGTTATTTGTAACGCTAAATTCTAATACAATTTAGTGCAGACGTTAATTATTGGATACCCACGTTGTTTTATTGTGATTAATATGCTTAATTGATGATGCTGAAAAGCCAAAACAAAGTTATTTCAACTGAGGACTACGTTTATATAGCTAGTTTAATCAAAAAAGGTGTTAAGACTAATTTTGAGATGTTATATCAATGAATTGTATTAACAACTAAGAAATAATTAAGTAAATGTCCTCAATAGATTCAATCGGTGCATTTATTTGAAGCAATATTAATTTGCATAATAGTGGAATACAAAAACTCCTACAAAATATGAATTACTTCATCGGAAAGTCATCTTTTTTATATTAATTTCAGTTTCAACATCCATTATCTAACTGTTATAAGACATTTTATGTGAGTCCCTTCGTTACAACGTATTATAGACTTTTTGGGTTTCTCAGCTAATCTACAGTTAAAGTGAAAATATCTGCAATAGTTTACGTAGCCATTTATGAAATACAAAACGCCTTAACGCTATATTAATAGTTATTTATGATGTAACAATTGTCAAGGGATGTTTGATAATAGAATGTATTTAAATCTGACATTCTGAAAATGTCCTAACTTGCAACCCTAAACACAAGTTTTTCCCCCAAACAAACGACAAATAGTCAATTCTTTTACACATATAGCTGTGCACTTGAGTAACATTTTTCATGACATAAATGCTGACATAAGAGGTTTGGCAGTTTTATGTCAGCTTGCACAGTGACAAAATAAAATGTATGATCTATTAGAATGTATGTAATCGTGTTAAAGCTATGACAAAATTCAACGAACTTAATGAAGATAATTATTTCGAGTCAGTTACTGCAACATCTATGTAGCAGGTGTACTGAAAAGAAAGGCACATTTATATACTTTTTGCTAAGCAATCGTTACCATACTCTTACACTTAAACATCATGTTAAAACATGGCAAACATTTACTTTTTGCTACAATTTTATTGATGTCTAATAGCATCTAAATCACCTGTACGGTAGTTTATTCATTAAAATACCATATTCACACACTTGTGAACTTGTTAAGAACAATAAAACAGACACGTTTATGTTATTGAACGACTTTCAGTTTTTGTGTTTTTGTCTTCTGGGTATAGCGTTGACACTTTGAATATAGAATTATTTACTGTAAATGCAAAATAAAACAGATGGTGATGAGGTAATTGTTGTCTAGGCTCAACAATCTGCTGCATTTCAAACGTGATAAAATGCATATACGTGCTAGTACTTGCTCTACGCATGTGTAAAATATACAAATTTAAGATATCAATATTTCATTTTACAATACGACATCGTATTTTTCTTAAAACAAATGTCATTATTTCTGTATCTGTACACTATTTAATTATTCCCATATGTATAATTTTCATTTATGTAGCAATCTAAAATTCAATCATCATTTATTAAAATAGTATGCGTTGAAACGTTTAGATTAGACTATTATTCAAATATTCATCCCTCAAATGTATCTATGCTTTTTGTCATACAATTATGCAATTATTAGATTTATTTGAACCTATTTCTCATTTTAATTTTACCATACGCTTACGTGAATATTTGATATGACAATTATTTAAAAAAATCTATTGCATTTATTAAGGAATACACATTCTAGAATAAATTTTGTATTATATTCATTATTTTCATTAGAAAAATTAAAGATCAACAACATTGAATACTCTTTTTATAATACAAAAATTATTGAAATATAGGAAATTCTTATCGAGTATGTTTATAGTAAATTGATTTAGAGAATATACAAACTATTTCAGCAAATCTGCATTCTTTATTACTGATTGAGATAATTTGACAATTGCTTTAAAAAATGACATTTAAATACATTTAAAATATACAATCATTATATATTTATACTGTATTTTCTTATAATTTGTAAAGCTAAAAACGTCAAATACCTTCTATGTGTATTCGAAACATGTTTATCTTTCATTTTAAAAAAGACTGAATAGCGTTATATTTCTTTATTATGAAAATCGTACACATTGGATAATTCATTCACGATTTAATTTTTATGAATGTTTTTGAATGTAAAATGTTGGATTTGTATTGTTAATGTACATATCTATAAGTATATATTCGAGAAATAAAAATGTTTAAACTAAATTTACAAAGTAAATGAATGGTACAATCAATTGAAGAGATTCTTTTTATTAAGTTAAAACATTGGTTTGCTAATGGTTATAAAATATTTTGACATGATAGTAAACATATTAGATATATCATGACAAATTAAGGAAAATCATCACATTCCCGAAACATTTATTAGCTATTGTTTGAACCGTTCGCTTGTGGTTATAACAGCTGTATAGAGCGGTATAAAGACAGGAGTGTATTGGAAAAATAGGCAGTAGTGCCTCCAAAAACTCTTTGCTCTAGCATCTGTTATAATAAATAGCCTGTTGTATTCCGGCTAAACGTATTAATGTCTTTTGTTCACAACAGTTTCCTCTGACTTTTGTTTTGAGATATAACAATTATTCAGTGATGGATTTTTAATGTGAGCGTGTTGTAATGTACTTAAATGAATATATTACTAAAATACACATATTGTTACTTAGTTTGTGAAATAAGTAAAATGTAACATAATTATTTTAAAAATAGCCTGCCAATTACTTTATGTTATATTAAGATATATATTGGAACAATGAAGAGAACTGTGACTACGAAATAGAGTGAATTGTGTCTGATATGAAATTGAGATTAATATTCTTTTCGGATATGATAAGATTTTGAAATGTCTTGGATTAAGAACAGATTGAAATACATTCAACACGTGGCGTTTTTGGTTCTCCTGACATTTCTGGAAGCAGGTATGATACTGCCTATATTTACATACCTTTAGCGAAATTATATCGAATAGATTACGGCGCATTGATAATTTCTCTAAAAAAAATAATTAGGAAATATTTTTTGACGTGTTTCACTTATGTACACTTCTACCTTTAATTTTGAACATGAAGTAAGTTTAATGTTTCTGTTATAAAAGAAATGCATTTGAAAATAATAAATAATAGGTAGTTTGGGCACTTTATAAGTTGGCTTGTACAAATATAAGAACATAAGAATATAAGTATATAAGAAAATCATTTGAATTTTTATAATTAGTATCATCCCATTAAAATATCTTGTCATATGTCATTTTGTGAATTTTCATTGAAAGTGAAATCAATAGCATAATTCAAGTTAATTGTTATCAACTTTACTGAAATAAAAATCTAAATTTCAAAATGATAAATCCAACCTACTCAAACAGTATTTACTGTAGGTCAATTTAAAGAATAACAAATTTATCTGCCAGTAAAAGGTCAGTTGTTTTATCAAGTTTGATTATCTGACACAGGCCCTGCTATTAGCAGAAAAGCAAACACTGATTGAGACTTAACTAACGAAGGAAAAACTTACAAATCATTAATCAAACATATTTAAAAATCAGGACAAACTATTTAACGGTTAATTGCTACTGTCATTTAAAAATATCGCTAAAATCGCAAATAGACTTACAGCATAACTAAAGAGATTACAGATCAAATTTACTTAGACAAAAACACTTTCCGTCCTTCCATGACAGTCGAAGTAAATTTAAGCGAATAAAGAGTGAATAATTTAAAATCAGGACAAACTATTTAACTATTAAGTGCTAATGTCAATTATCAAGACCGCTGATTTCAAAACATGACAATATTCTAAAGCTAGAGAAAACAATTTCATAACCGTTGAAGTTAATTTATAATCGGATAAAAAGTGAACACGTAAATTTACCATTTTTGTAATGAAAGTACAAATAATTTCAATGAAAATAAAATAATTTACACAGAACAAAAATTTTGACAAGAATGTTGGTAAGGAAGCTTCCTGCAATATTTGTTTTCGCTTTTAGACCAAACTTTGATTCTTAGAAAAAGCCTTTTCGCATTTAGACCAAACCTAGAATTCTTTACGCATTGGGATCAAATCTTGATGACAACAAACACGCCTTTAAGCGTTTAGACCAAGCATGGATTTCTACAATGGTTCTTTCGCATTTAGACAAAGTATGAAAGTATATACAGCGCCGTACTGTTTACAACATAGGATATAACAATCTTGCCTGAACAATTCCAATGTACCGTGGATATCTTTCGGTTGAGACTGTACTTACTTTGAATGATTGATATAAGTCTTTTTGAGGTGGTTATAGTGGTAATTTGTCCTCCAGATCACGACAGTTGAATTTACTTGAATTTACCAGAGCACAGTCTAGCCAAAGCAAGTCTTTCTGTCAACATTTTCTTCATTCATGTTGTGATTGTATCGAAAATAATTATGAAGCATTTCATCTTGAGTTCGTACATAAATATTATTTTATATATAAAGTACAAATTTTAATATTTCATGTAAAAACATGCACGTCAAGAGTGAAACATAAATATTTGATTTATTTATACAAATGCACATTTTTGAATTATTCTAAACAAACTATCTGAACTTCAAAAAGAAATATGGTATCATCTATTAACAAAAATACATTTTAGGGAGTATAAACGTGTGTCTGTTTAAAACATTTAAATGTCATTGTTTATAATTTTGCAGAACACCAGCCCGTGTAAATTTTCTTCTGTACAAGACAAGTGACAAATCAGTCAATATTATCAAATTATCCGATTAACAAAGTTTATTCTAGCAGTTCTTATTTATGTTAGCAACACGTGCAAATCAGACCATGCAATGGATATTTCCTCTTGCGTTAATATGATTACGTTTTAACTGGTTTACGTTGACATTTTAATTTAATGTTGCATGTTTTCTTGTTGAAGCTTCGAAACCAACTTATTCTGTTTTCTTTCAAAATTTAATTGCTTCAAAACTGGAAAATGATAACAAATATAGCATCTTTCAAGATAATGCACATAGTTATGCAAACTCTTGGTAATACCGCTAATAAATACCATTTTCAATAACGTATTATCTTGTTTTTGATTTATCATGATCAATACATGTTGATTGATAAATATAATAAAAATGACACGCTTTATTGTATGGTGAACAACATAAATCAATATTCTTTAGACATCTTTATATCCAATTTTATGTTTTTATCTTCCTTGTCCCGTGTTTTGAAGAGGGTATAAAACATCTTTGCAAATGAAAGTAAAACTTGGAATAAGATAACGCTTTCGTTTACGATAGAATCTGTGTTATTTCTGATGGTTATAAAAGACGATGCCATGTTGTCTTTGTCTCTATGCAATATTACGACAATGGCATAAGGGAACTGACTTTGTGGTAATTACAACTGTTCAATATTCATGTACGTTAATAATGCAGAAGTGGATTTTAATCAGAGATCATTTGCATACAGAACATATTCTGACACGCAATATGAGAAAAATGCCATAATATTCATCTTCTCTTTTGATCCCAATATAATTGTCTATCAGTAGAGATATTGATGTCTTATCATAACTATACAAGATGCTTAAACATAATATTTTATGCATTAGAATTGCTTCTGTTTGATAAATGAATCCTCAGTATCATATAAATTTAAAAGGAAATAGTAAAGTAGTTCCGGGTCGATATAAACAGACATTTAAAATGTTGTGTCATATACATATGTTCGCTTGGTGACAGGACAAAATAGTCAAACCAAATTAATTTTTAACGCAAAATTTTATACTCGTATAGATTTTACTTTTGGCATGTTTCATATAGTGCATGCTTTAATAATTATTTACACTATATTAACACATTATGTAAAATATGTAAAAAAATCCCTATATAGAAATGTTTTGAAATAATAATTGATGACATTGATGGCATGATATGACAATTGACATTATGAGATGAAAGAAAACCCGATTAACATAATAATTAGAACGATTTCAGTTTATATGTACCAGTCTATGCTTACAGCACATAAGACTTCAGACAGATATATGACAATTACATATCAACAATGCATAGCACAATACATTAATGTACTGTAAACAATGCACACCACATATATGAGATTGGAACATTAAATGGTACGTAATAAATATCAGAACGCAACACATTTTCTAATAATATCAAACCTATATCCGAATACATAATATATTATCACACCCTACAGCGTGTTATTCCACACAATTTGTTTAGATTGACATACCATTTGATGCTCTTAATAATACACTAAGTGTACTGTCTGCCACCTAATGTGAACTAGCTGTATCTTAATTGATATAACACTGGAGGTCCATTGATATACGTGTAGACTGTCTGAAACATCGACGTTAAAGCAATGGTTGCAAAAACATTAACTGTACGACTATAGATAAGACAGGTTTTGTTCATGGCAATTGATATAATCGGTTTAATCTCATTTCTTAAAGTTTGAAAAGTGTGTAGATATAATTTTTTATAACTTTTGTGAGCGTACAAATATATGACCTTAATACTTTATCGCCTACGTAAATACACGTATGTATATGTAACAACAGTGAGGATGATTGATTTTTTACGTTTTTTATGTAGTCTAGTATTGTTCTATTATTATGTAATTTAAATGATGTTGATGAAAAGTCTTGATAAGTAAGATTCATCACATATTCCTTCATCTGTTCATACGCATGTATTGGTTTATTATATGTCCTCATATAAAAATGTAATTCCGTATATTAAGTTTTCATCAAATGGAATAAAGTTTATTATCTATTGAAATTGTTATTAAAGGTACGTCTCAAACCCCTGGTTCTGAAACGCTTTGTTCAATAAAGTTAACAACCATTTAACCTCAATTTGTTGTTATCCCTTGCCGAGACTAAACATGAAAAAATAAGCGTTGTCAATCTCCTTCCAGTACAAAAACAACTCTGCATGAGTTTCTAGTACAACTCCAATCAGACGTATAATATTAGACACTTGAGATATTTAAACATTAGAAACCAAAGTAACCGAGATCTCCTGCTGTTTAATTGTGATTAATATTTGTTAATGGTGATGCTGAAAAACGATACAAAGCAATTTACAAATAATTGCTTTCTTTATGTCGCTAAAGTAAGATCGAACAAGGCAATAGACTAATATTACGGGGTGAAATTAACAAAGTTTCTTCAATGACGTAATGCATTTCAGTTAATGTCAGTAATAAAGAAACGGCATTGCTTTTTGTATTGAATTTGATTAATTAGGAAAATAAATCATGGCAAAAGAGAACGAAAAGGAGAATTGTCTCAACTAGAGTTTAAATGGTAACAGTAAAATGTATGTGAAATGATTATGCGAATGAAATGTTGTTGTGTTGTTTGAATTCATTTCTGTGTCTGTAAAAGAAGGTCTGTTATACCAGATAGTATTAAGTAATATGCGTAACAACAAGCCAGGTATTATTATATGTAGATGTTGTTGGTAAATGCGAGATACATGATCTGATATTACATATTTAAGTATAGAAGGTAATAAAAAAGTGTGTCCGAACAATATATTTCGATTCATTATATAAGTGTTAATTTTCAATCACGTAAAATGGTTATCAACATTTTTTTTTCAAGAAACTTTTTATTAGAGTTTTCAAATGGTATATTTCTATTGCTTTTATCAATATTTGAAATACTTATGGAAAATGTAGCCATTGTAGACGAATTCATTTTGAAATATATTACCATGATATTGTCTTGATTTTATTGCAAATATAGCAATAACTTTTGTTGATGATATTCTCAAAGATTTTTTTGGTGTTATTTCTCCTCTGATTAAACGTGCCTGATTATATGTGGAAAGTGGGTGCAAGTTCTTTGTTGACTTTGAAATAACAAAATATAGTGAACATTTATGTTACAAGGTTCACGAATAT